TGGTTTACACTCAAAAGTGAAGGACTGGGAACAAAACAAGTAACCAGACCCCCGCTTCGCGAAGTGCACCCATGTTTTTAAGCGTTTGCAGGTTTCCCTTTTTAAAGAACGGGTCGGAACGTTGGAAGTTTTATGATGACTACTAAAATTCAATGACTTCGATGTATCTGACAAAGGCTTGCCTTACCCCTTCAAGACTACTGAACCACCTTGCTCTTTCCAATTCCCTCGAAACTCTACAGAGAAATCAATAAAGTTACGAGGATGAATAGAATCGAACAGGAACTCGAGCATCGAAACCGCGTGGAGCTTATGTGGTGAGATGTAGTAATTCAGTCTTCTTATGTGGACCTTTCACTTCAAAGACGTTTTACATGCATGTTCAATTTTTCTCAGTCGTCCCATTTATTGACGAAATTAGCTCAAAGACCTCATCGTCTTTAAATTTGACGTCTCCATCCGTCAAAGTCCTCTGTTTTACACAAATATAGTGTTCATGCTTGTCTAATTCACTTTAACGACAACAAATTAACCACTAGGTCGTAACTCAGAGCGAACAAGGTGTTGAAAATTTTATCCTTGAAACTTATTGAAAATTACTCACAAGTTTTCAACCTCTGTTCTTTGCGCGATCTTTTCATCGGTCTATTAAAGCAAGTAAACAGTAATAATTAATAATGAAACTGACCTAGATTCCGGATTTAGATTATTAAGATAAATGTTAGTATTTCACTTACAATACATTGTTATCATACCCAATGGCAAAGCCTGATAACAAAAATTAATGCTATATTTTTTCTATATTAGCACTATCACTAAAAAGTGTTGACAAAAATCTAAGTCTTTCTTTCCAGGCTCTACAGAAGCACGAGGTAAAGTTATGTCAAATGTATCTTTCTTTATTTCTTTACCGAGCTCAAAACTTACTATCTTTCTTATTCGATCTACAAAACATGACGCTATCAACATTGCCGATCCTAGCAGTATGCAGGTCACGTGTCAAATATGAACTTCATAATGGGTTTTGCTAAACACAGAGTCTTAGTGGCCCAGTAATGAGTAGAGAATCGCCAGAGTGCGCAATCCGAATTCCTCATGGGAACTCAGAATTTCTTAATTGTCCCTCGCTCGTGATAAGACGAGAAAACTTCTTTCTCTATTCTTTATCGAACCCACGACTTACCATCTTTCTTATTCTATTTAATTAGTAACTAGTTTGTCAATTAAGTTTTACCTCAATTCGCGATTTCTGCAGTGTCAGGGCTTTTTGAAGCGTCTTTGCATTCGGATTGTTTACTTCAAACCTGTGACTCGTTGCAAACAGTCTGTCGTCTGACATTTCGTATTTAACCTTGCAGTACTTCTATCAATTACTTCGTTATTATGAAAGTAGCGCGTTTACTGTAAACCACATAGGGAGATGTTACCATGGTGAAATGTACACTCAACCACTTAGGCAGGCATTGTTATGTAAACAAGTGGTTTTGTAGTTGAGTTGACAAAAGGTAAAATAAAGCATCGGTCCGTGTTATTGAAATATCAAGAGCCAATTGAGTTCGCTAAACAAACACTTCTGACATAACGGACTGTACATATGATGTACGATCCTCGCAGTAGATAGCGCTATTTAAGCAATAGCGAAAATCAGACCTGAAAAAAAAAA